GCCAAAATCTAGATTTTTTGTATGTAATTCTATGCTTTCACCTCAGATATTTTTTTTTTTTTTTTTTTACATAATTTTATGCTTTTAGAGTAAATATATATGAGGGTCATTCAATAAATAAGTTGAATTTTTCGGTATAAGGACTTCTAATACAGATAGAAGCTTACTTTTTTTATCTTTTTTTTTTGTTTTACTTCTTTTTCACATGGATTTAATTTCTTTTGCAGACTAAAAAAAAAAACTTTGCGAGTTTTGGCGATTAACAAAGATGGCCGACCGAGAAGCATGCTCCAGGATTGAACAGTGGTCAGTTATCAAGTTTTTGGTTGCTGAAGGGTGCAAACCAGTTGAAATTCATAGGAGAATGTCAACTGTGTATGGTGCCACATGTTTCAGCCAAAAAAATGTCTACAAGTGGGCTAAATTGTTTAAAGAAGGACGGAGCAGTGTTGAGGATGAAGACAGGCCTGGGAGGCCTACAGAAGTCCTTATACCGAAAAATTCACCTTATATATTGAATGACCCTCGTATTTTGTAGATGATAAAATGTATTGTTGGTAATTTCAATATAAAAATGTATTTTTATATATTTTTTTTTTTAATATTGCATTGTCATTTTTCTATAAAAATGTATTGTTGCTCATTTTATTATAAAAACATACTATTGGTTTTGCTTGGAGATTTACTATTTGCCCATAGCTAGAACCCTAACAGGTGCTACCACCCCAGGTCAGGGTGAACCTGGAACAATAGCAATTAAGAGGTGGTTCCACACTCCTCAAAACCTCCAATCTCCTAATCAGAAGCCTTGCTGCCAGATGTAGTTTATTGTCATCCCCAAGACGACCGGATGTATGTCAATCTGGGTAACTTACAGGGAATTTCAAACTGAACCCTTTATTTAATCTACAGAGGTAGACTTAAAGGTTAAGCCTCCAATTTCTCGACAGAGAATTAGATAATAGTGAAATAGTAATTTTTAGTCCAATCCCTGAGCCGAGAAATGTGTAGTTGGCCTCAGTGGAAACGGGCAAGCAATAACTGAATATGACTAAAATAAGAACTAGACAAGATAATCTCATAGACAGTGGAACAAGAACAATCTACGCCAGTAGATTAAATAAAAGGGTCAGGGAGATACACTTGATGAAAGACAGAGGGCACAACAGCCAAAATGTTGTGATAACAGCAGAGATTAGGATAATAGTTATATATATATATATATATATATATATATATATAAAGTGAACACTGAAGTCAACACTCAGAGGTGACAGGATGTTTCATGCTAGACACAATCGTCAGGCTGATGATTGTGTCTAGCATGAAACAGCCTGTTGCCTCTGAATGTTGACTTCAATGTTCACTTTTTTATTTTATATATGCTCTATCTCTGATATTGAGCACTTTATCCCATAAATATAGCACACTTTAAAACTATCTCTCTCTATATATATATATATATATATATATATATGTGTGTGTGTGTGTGTATACACACACACACATATATATATATATATATATATATATATATATATATATATATATATAGAGGCACATGGCAGGGTGGTTAGAATTTTTCTGACCGTGGAGACCCAGGTTTGAGTCTCACTATGCTCAATTTGTCAGGAAGTGGACGTCCTGATGTTATCGGTCTCCAGGGGCCGATCCCATTGTGTGGCACCTTTGGAAAGTGCCCGAAAACCATACAACAGGTTGACCCAAGCCTTGTCAGTGAAATTAGGCAGACGGTACACCTAAGGGCCGTCAAAAGCTGTGCTAGCACAAAGTCACATGTCATCATTTGAGTGTGATGGCCTTGTTCAGATTGTTGACCACGCTAGATAACACACTCTTTCCCAGAAACTGTAACTAAAGTCTGCTCCGATTATCTGTAGGATGGGTATACTTGAATATGAATGGCTAGCTATACACACACATATATATATATATATATATATATATATATATATATATATATATATATATATATATAAGGAATGAATGCCTTTTATTTTTAATATGACAACATTTATTATGACTTTAAACATTATATTTTAATGGATACATGTATTTGAATAGGCGCCCTGAAAGCACAAGCCAGTAGATATATTAAAAGAAAGAAAAGGCTGTCTACTCAAATGCTCCACCTACCAAAATATAATGTCTAAATAAGAAATTTATATGTAATAGGTCATTGTATCCTCCAATCACTAAACGCCTACAACTGACCCCTTAAGAAAAATTCACAGGTGTTCCTTAATCAAACTTATTGATAAATCCCAAATATTCGATCGATGATTTTTGGCATAACAAGCTGTTCAAGAAAAATATGTTTAAACCTAGAGAGAAGTTTGACAAAATAATATTTCTATCAAATCATCTTTAGACTTGTAAGAATATGTGGTAAAAATATACACAAATTTGATTAAACCACCTAACTAAGCAGCTGATAAAAACAGGCAATTTTAAGGATGGTAAGAAAAAAGATAACCCCAGGTCATTTTGAAGTACAGTGTAACCCGGATATAAGAGAGATTTTCTCTGGTCCCAAATTAGAGCCTGTGTTAATGTATATAAAATAGACTTCTTCTCCGGTCCCGACAACTCTTATCCGGTTATCTATATATATATATATATATATATATATATATATATATATATATATATATATATATATATATGTGTGTGTGTGTGTGTGTGTGTGTGTGTGCAAATATATGGATATAGATCTGATAGTATGAAGAAAATATATTCGAAAAAAACAAAACAAAATCCTTATATAATGATTAACATTAAAACAACATAATCGTATATATTTTTTTTTTTGTTTTTCCAGATATATTTTATATATATATATATATATATATATATATATATATATACACACAGTGTAACCTCGGATATAAGAGATTTTCTCTGGTCCCAAATTAGAGCCTGTGTTAATGTATATAAAAATAGACCAAACCCGGATATAAGAGACTTCTTCTCCGGTCCCGGAAACTCTCTTATATCCGGGTTACACTGTAGTAATACCAACATTCCTATAACGGGAATGAATAGGTTTACAGCATAGAAATAATTTATTAGGTCATAAATGACAGGAAAATTAATTTGGATGAAAAGTTCTCAAAATGCACAACGTTCTTTAACATTATAGTTATTTTCAGGTCCCTACAAAAAGGAAAAATATGCACACTTCCGCAATTTACAGTTTCATAATCTAAAGAAAATATCAAGTTTTAAATCTATACATGCAATATCCTGGGCGCTACGGAATGTCAGAATTCATTGAAAGCCTTCTTTAGCAAAACACAACAAATGCAGTGAAATTTCAAAATGATATGATTATAAAACTATTCAAAGAGTCAAATTTAATTTTGGGGAGTTATCAATAAATTCCATAAAGTAAAACATGAATTTTCAGATTTTTCTATGTGGGTCACCTGTTTAGTTGAGATACAATGACCCATATATATTTCAAGAGATACATATATACATACAACAATATTATAATAATAATAACAACAACAACAAGACAATTACTATAACTAAAAAGGTGTGTATATATATATATATATATATATATATATATATATATATATATAGAGAGAGAGAGAGAGAAAGAGAGAGAGAAGTCAACATTTAGAGGCGACATGCTATATGCAATCGTCAAGCCTGACGATTGTGTCTAGCATGAAACAGACTGTCGCTTCTAAGTGTTGACTTCTATGTTCACTTTTATATTTACATATGCTCTATGTCTGATATCGAGCACTTTATCCCATAAATATAGCACACCTTAAGACTATGTTTCTTATATATATATATACACACACACACACACACACACAATGAATCATTCATACAAAAAGTAAATTAGTAAAGTTAATGATATAAAATTAATTTCACTAACTAAATTTTAAAAATGCATTAACCCACAAACCACTCATTGAATGTTATGACCCTTGTTTTTTAAAATTATAAACTGTATTAGTTCTTTCTTAAATATGCAAGTAGTTTCGACAGGTTGTCCGGTCATCATCAGGCATGAAAATTATTTTCTTTTTGGTAAAATTCAGGTAGCATCCAAAATGGAAAAATATAATGCAAATCAAATCCCACCCCCAAGTGTTCTATTGATGATTGAATTTTTGAAAATTCAAGTGAGATCTTTTTTTTTTTACTAAAAACCCGTCGAAAGTACTTACATATTTAAAGACCTAATACAGTTTATGATTTTAAAAAACAAGGATCATATCATTCATCGAATGATTAGTGGGTTAATGCACCTTTAAAATTTAGTCAGCAAAGTGAATTTGCCATTTTATGTAATTAACTTTACTAATTTACTTTTTATATGAATGATTCATTGTAATATAAATTAAACTGCACCACATATTTGATATATATAAGGAGAAAAAACTATGCTTAGGTGACATGTTTTGTCCTTTGAGGAACTTTATCAAGACAACGTAGGATTTTTTTTATGCTGCACATATTCATATACAAAGTCGATGGTTTATCAAGGTTTATAAATTTGACAACGTTCATCAGGTGGTTGAAAGGTCTGCCATAGCATGTGGAGGACACAAAGCATCTAATAAAAAGAAAACTGGGCAATGAGCCTTGATACAGTCTCTCAGAGGTTGAAACATCAGTTACGTATGGTTTTTCATCCTGTCTATTTTGTCACTCTTACAGATGCGTGCACACACACACTCTAGTAAATATACTAAAATTGTTTGGAGCAACAGTTTTAGTAAAATTTAAAAAATATAAAGTACTCTTGGATCCTCCTTCCAAAAGCATCAACTGTGAAAATTAAAAACTTTACATATAAATAAAGCACACAACAGAAGTCAGTGATATTCCATGAATCATTCAGTTTACCATAACATTTTGACAGGTATATTCTACTGCCTTCTTCACTTTTTTTTTTTTTTTTTTAAATAGTTCATGGAATAATGACTACAGGCAGTCTCAAAATTTCAGACAACAGTTAACGGAAAAGATGCAAATGAAGCAAGCAAGAGAGAAAAAAGAAAAGTGAATGTTCTTACATCATCGCAAATTTCAAGGAGACAACCGACTGCTTCTCTTTTCTTGCGCTGTTCTGCACTCAGTGGCTGTTGTCTGTCTCTCCGACTAGCTGACCGTTGTCTTCGGCCACTCCCAGCACCACCAATACCATTACCACCACCGCTGCCCCACTTGTTTCCTTGACCCGCTGCATTTTTATTCTCAACAGCAGCGGTATTTCTGCTTTGCTCTCCAGCATTATTATTATTATTATTATTTGCAGTTGCACACTGACGGTGGTGGTGGTGGTGGTGTTGGTGGTGATGGGAACAGGCAGTGCCTTCAGAAAACCCCCCAATGACATGGGTACATTCAGGACTGCTTGCTAAGTCCCCATCCGCCGAACAGTGGTAATTGTCGTGCTGCAGTAACAGACTAATAATGTACCGAGAATAAACAGACTCTATGCCCAGGACGTCCAATTTTGCTTGGAACCAACTCTGAACAGACGCAGTTGACCGCCTTGCAGACGACGTTGGGGGGGACATCATAGTCATCATCATAGTCGTTTTTGTGGCCATACCAGTCGAGGAAGATGCTGACAACGAAGAGATGGAGGAAGATGAGGCGACCGAGGTGGCTGTAGCAGTGGCTGTCTTTGGAGTTGCGGATGCAGAGAGATTTGAAGGGATTGTCTGTGGGGAGCTTTTGGAGGCAACAGAATAGTCAACTTGGTCTAGGGTTACATAAGAGGGCGGAGATGCAGATGGAGAGCAGAGAGGGCAGGGCAAAGAAGAAGGTACAGACGGGGAAGATACAGAAAGAGGAGGAGGAGGAGTTGGTGGTATTCTAAGCATCATCATGATGGATACTTCGGCAGACGACCGTTTTAACACGGAGTCGTTTCTCTGGGTAACTTCAGGGGGTGGTGGTGGTTCTGTGGTGGTAGGGTGGTCAGTGTCGTCCGAGCCAGCTGCTGACATTCGAAAAAGCAGGCTTCTCAAGAGACCTGACAAGTTTGCCCCACGCACCACAACCTCTGCTGCCCTTGGGCTGCTACCGCTGCAAATGCAGCACCGCTGCTTAATGAAGTCTGAAGGGGAATGGCTCCTAGCATTGCCAAATAGGAGCCAAAGATGGAGAAACAGCGGCAGAAGAAAAATTGAAGACACGGGCAGCAGAAAGAGAAGCAAGTGACACAGGCTGGGCAAGAGAGAACATTGAAAGGTTTGACCAGTGGTCAGGGGTTTTATCACCACGGCAACACATGTTTGCTGGAGTCGCCAACAGAGACTTAGCCAGTTCAAGTTCAGCACAAAGAGGAGAATAAAGTGGCTGAAATTCAGAAGAATATACAGAACAGGACATGTAAGGAGAGCAAGGTACTGACCTAACGTGAGGATTGATTGTGTCTGTGTGGCAGCCGGAGATGTTATCCTGGGTGGAAGTGGAGAAAGAGGGAACATGTGGCAAAGAAGCACCTGGTCTGGCGAAAATGGGGGTCAATAACAAACGCTGGCTACAAATGGGCAGAAAGGAGTTGCTACTTCTAATCAAGCAAAGAGAAAACGGTAGCAGGAACTCGGAAATTGATTGGGCTAATTTACTTAGCCCAGCCATTACGGAAACTAAAATTAAGAATTTGGGGTCCTGTCGGGGGGAGGTTTTCAAATAGGGAAAAGTTTGACAAGTCGTTAAATGAAACTTTCATTTAAATCTGTTTTTGTTTTTTTTTAGGAAAGGAGGAAAAATGTTTTTGAAAGTTTTTTATTTACTTTTTTGTTGCTGTAAATAGGAATAAATTTATAGCGTACGTTAAGAAAAAGCAAAATTTTCAATTTTCTCCTTTTGTATTGAGGTAGTAAAAGTAGGGTAGAATGATCAAAAAGGGTTAGTTTAAAAACAAAATTAGAAAAAGACTTTAAATAGGGGTTTATTAGGTATACAAGGGGAAGAGAAGGGAAAAAAAAAAAAAGTTAAAAATTCAAAAAAAAAAACCCCCACTGCAGAGTGCAGACAAAGACAGCCAAAGCTAAGGGCCACACACTGCTGTGGACAATTCATAGGGTCTGAGGACCACCAACCTACACCATTCCACATGGTTTTTGCCGCCTAAGCAGCACCATAGTCATTTCTTTTACTCCATCTTGACAGATTAGGAGGGCCACCCTGTTAGGAGCAAAAATGGAAACAACATTTAGAATTCTAAGAGGGATTTGATGTATACAAACCTCATTGGACACTGAAATTAAAAACATTCTTGACAAATGTACAAGTCTAAATTTTTGGCATAAAGGGTTAAATACAATAACAAAAAAATTAAGCCATGAGGCAATCTTTTTTGGTAAAGAGAGGAAACTCGGTGAGATTTCCTTTTTGAATGTTATGTTGCATTTTTGGAAAAGGAATGAAACCCCAAGCAAACAAATAAAGGACTAACATGAAACCAATTTCTTTATTCTTTGTTAAAACAGAGGGAGAGGGGGGAAGAGCAGAAATAGTGAGGGGAAGAGGGAGCGAGAAGGAGGAGCCAGAGAAGAGGGAGCGAGAAGGAGGAGCCAGAGAAGAGGGAGCCGGAAGGAGGAGCCAGAGAAGAGGGAGCCGGAAGGAGGAGCCAGAGAAGAGGGAGCGAGAAGGAGGAGCCAGAGAAGGGGAGCCGAGGAGGAGCAGAGAAGAGGGAGCGAGAAGGAGGAGCCAGAGAAGAGGGAGCCGAAGGAGGAGCCAGAGAAGAGGGGAGCAGAAGGAGGAGCCAGAAGAGGGAGGGAAGGAGGAGCCAGAGAAGGGAGCCGGAAGGAGGAGCCAGAAAGGGGAAAGGAGGAGCCAGAAAGGAAGTGAGCGAAGAAGTGAGAAAAAGGAGTGAAAGGAGGAGGAGGAAGAGAGCAAGAGAAATATAATCTTGCACTGAATCATGGTTGGTCACATGTGTCACAGATGTATAGCAATATCTGTTCCAAACACCAAAAGAATTTCATTCTATTCTTGCAGTTAACCACATTTACGCTGCAAGGCTAAAGTCATCACCCTACCAAAAAATGAAGGGTGGCACCATAATGTTACATTGCAGAAGGGGCAATCACATTTTCTGTCTCTTCCAAAATACACAGAAAATTACTGGAGTTAAAGTAACCTCTGAACTTTTGTGAAAAGGTAAAAATAAAGACTCATCACACCAGGTCATTTTCAAGAGATTCCTCTAATCCAAGAGATTGATCAAAATAATATAATTTAGCTGGTATATGGGTTGAAATAAGTGAAACATTTTAACACCCAAGTTCTTCCTGAAATTTCAGAACCAAACTGACATGTCCCAACCAGCACGTCTACTTTGTACCCTACTGAATATGAGCCCATTTACTTAAAGGAATTTTCTAAGTACTTACACAATACATTGCCATAACAAGCATGAGAATACAACCAATTAAATATACAAGTGATTGCTCACTAAAATAGTCCAACAGTATTTTAATATGGAGGCTATAAAAATACCAAACTTCCCAACAGAGCAGAGGCATCACAAAATTTTTTTGAAAGTTCCAACATCTTTGATGGTTGACGAATTTGAGCAACATAGCTACATTAGATTTTGTGCATAGTTTAACAAATCTGTTTCAGAGACATTGAAAATGTTTTTTTAGGCCATTTCTGAACATTCTTTAGGTTCAACACAAGTCATATGGCATGCATGTTTCAAGACCAGTGGAACGTCAGTTCAAAATATGTGTTCATGTTGGTTAATCATCAGCAAAACGAAGGCTTATAGCCATATCACATTGAAAGACCATTTCCTGTATGATTGCCAGTTAAGCAATGTCAAGCCTGGTCAGTACCTAGATAGGTGACTACTTGGGAATACCAGAAGCTGTAAACTTTTGATGTGCAGGTGGGGGTGATGGATAATGGCTCAGAATTGTTCACCGGAGAGCTGAGTTCCAATTCCAGAGTTTGTTTCATCTTTACACTTCTGATGCTTGTCCTTTCTTATGCTCATACAACACCACACAGTAACCCTCTACCTTGAGTGACTCTTGGGCATTGTATTGGCTGAACATTAGTTAAAGAAGATTGTTTTGTACTCCTTTCCCATTTATTGAACAGGGGTAGAGGTATATCCCTTGTTTTCTGTTTAAGAGTTAAGGGTTTCCAGTTCCTTTTAAATTCTCATTCTCTTTCACTCCTAGACTTTCAGCTGTATCACATTGAAACACTAGTTCCTGTACAATCACCAGTTAAGCAATGTCAAGCCTGGTCAGTACCTAGATGGATGACTATTTGGGTATACCAGATGCTGTAAGCTTTGATGTGCAGGTAGTGTAATGGATAATGGCTAAGAATTGTTAATTGGAGAGCCAAGTTCCAACTCCTTTAGCAAAGGCATGAATCCACCTCTTCTCCCCCAAGCTATGGGTTAATTAGTAAGACTTTTATCACTAAATCATTATTACATGCATTATTATATGCACAATAAAAATTTTAATATCTAAAAATATTTTCTGGCTTTAAATAACTGACGAATGTTTGGTAAGCCATAAAAAACAAATCAACCAACTAGCAAAATATATATGTGGAAAGATTTGTGAACTTGTCCATGAAAATTGTTGCCAAGCAAACCTATAAACTTCTTCACATGAATCTGCCCTCATATCTTAGTTTGGAACTTTCTAGTACTACTTTTCATCAAGTGGCTGCTGCAGATTCCACTGTGCTTGATAAAAATGTAAGGGAGGTAATTCAGTATATGAAACTTTGTTCAAAATTGATAAATTGAATAAACTGAATCCAGTACATGTGTTTCTGACTACTGTATTATTTGTTGTTCTTTTGTTCTTATTACTTTTTGGTAGGAGGTGGCAAAACTTTCAGACCACCCTGTACATGCAGAAAAAAAAAAAAAAAAAAAAAATGAAAAAATTTATATTTGCACAGACTATGCCTGATATTGAGCATTTTTATCCATAAATATACCTTAAAACAATGTTTTTAAATATAAAAGTTGACAATAAAGTGGTGACAGTCTGTTTCATGCTATGCTTAAAGAGAATCTTCAGGCCAAATTATATATATATGTGTGTGTGTGTGTTATGTTATGTACCACAAAAATAAGTTTTACCCAAAAAATAAGTTTCCCAAAATCTGAATCTTTCTACTGAGATTAATTTATATTTCAGATTTACTTTAAAAAAAAAAAAAAAAAAAAAAAAAAAAAAAAAAAAAAAAAAAGATAGATATATAGTTATGATAAATAATATTTAATTTCTATATTTTGGGTGCATAACTTCAAACATGGTGGACTCAAGATACAAGTTTATGTAAGGGAGGTAATTCAGTATTTGCTATAGGAAAATTGAATTTTGAACTTTAGAATTATTATCTTTTGAACTTGTGTCATATGTTGTCAGCATAGAGAGCTGATTAAAGAAATCACACTTGAACTTGCTGCACAGAACATGATTTTAGTATTGATGCATTGCGAAGTGCTACACAGATAACATATAAAAGATGTATATTCAGATATGTGAAGTGTTTGCAAGATAGATTCTGCAAAAAGTTTAAGTCATCAAACATGGATAAACGTGCCTGCAATAAAATGTAATGCCAAAAGGATTGTTTTTCCCATGACACCTCATTTTATTTTTTAACTACTTTCACTCTTCACTAATGTTTATTGTGTTAAAAAGTGAAGATTAGAATTAAAACCTAAACACATTATGTAAGTCAATTTAAACATTTTTTCTTGAGAATTTACAAGAAAAATATTAGACACTATTAGTTTGCATATTTACAAGATCCTAAAAAAAAAAAAAAAAAAAAAAATACAATTGCATTAAAACTAATACAATGCAATATTCATCATTTACCAATTTATAAAGAAATAAATTGGAAAATGTTTTATTCCTAAATTTATAAACATTTACTAAATTAATAAAATATGTAAACAAACTATAAGGAAATCTATATTTACCATATTATATATATATATATATATATAAAAAAAAAAGAACAGTAAGATATATAATCCGGTGTTCTTATAGATATTTTTATTTTTACAAAATAGTGCTCAATATAAATTTACAGAGCATTAATATTATAAAATTAATTGATTTAAAATATGGTTTTTCTGCTACACAGTTCTAACCATGTTTCAAAAATGGAAGGAGTAACTTACTTAAGTTACTCCAAAATTCGCTTGAGGATGAAATGAAACTAATGTCTTTCATTTAATTACAAAATTAAATTTGGACCTTCCATTTTTGAAACATGGTTAGAACTCTGTAGTGGAAAAACCATATTTTAAATCAATTAATTTATAATATTTACCATATTATAAAGTTTGAATTGATTGGCAATTAGCCAATGTTAAATAAGTAGTATAAATAAAAAAAAATCTAATAAATAGTATTTATTATTTTTCTTATCAATTTTCAAGAACATAGAAAATGTATAAATTCACTTTCATATTTACAATATTATTACAATTCTAATATTTGTCGAAAATTGAATGTAGTTAAAAAGGCAGGAAAAAAAAAAAATCCTCCATTTGACAGTCCATTTTATATAATGTGGCCACATTTATGCAGATTTGCCAAATAGTGTGTGCATAATTTCCAAGGTTTATTAAAGCATCAGCAGGAAGATGAAAGTGCATAGAAATCGGTGCCTGGGCATACAAAGAATTAGAAAAAAAATGGGTTTCAATAATCCACCATGCAAGCAGAATGAATAAAGTGTGCAATGGTAATGTTAATATTAGCTGTTTTCTTATAAGGAAACATTCGACATTAATTGCCCAAGCAGTCATTGCTGTTGTCAGCCGAGATTTATAAAATCTTTCTCTTCAAACAATTTTTCAAGAAAACAGCTTCCTCAAGTCTGCTTGCTGTTATTGCTCGTTATTTAACCCTCCCTCCTTAGATAAAAAGGGAGAGTTAGATCAAATTAACTTTTAAAGATTCCCAATTCTATCATTTTTATCTGACCCTCTTCGTAAAAATTAACAATACATTGTTCTTAAATACTCAGATTTTGAAAAGAGCTTGATAGTCTTTTTTTCCATGTGCAAGTTTTAGGAATTAATGTTTTGGAAACAAAAAAACCAAAACAAATTTTTCTAATTTACTTTGATAATTCATGGCCGTAAGGATTTTAAACAGATAATACATCTCACTTCAATAGCTTTGTCATGGATTAACACCAAGATGACAGATTTTGTCTTAGACTATGTAGCTCTCTGTTCCAGTAAAAATTGGGGACTGAACCCCACAGCACTCCCTATAGTGAGTATGGATGCTATTTATATTATCAGGACACCACCTTCCTAAACCAAAGTTCGTCATACAGACATTTTTACTCATTAATATCAGATTTATCTGTACCCATGGAAACTGAATACAATTGCTGGAATATATAAAATATAATTCAATCTATTTACATTGTTTAGGCAGTTGTCTTCATTTTTATTGCCACATTCAAAATATTTTGGCTATTATACACTCCAGCTTTCTACAGGTGATAGGTGTTGGAATTTTGAACTGAACCCTTTACTTAGTCCATGGGGGGTAGATTGTTCTAATTCCATGTGCCAGACCTTTTTGGAGAACTCAATTTTAGTTAATTCTCCTTGATAACTCAACTCTCCAAGTTTTTTTGTATTCTCTCAGGTATTGAACTCACAACTCTTTCTCGCGTTTAGAATCAATCCACCAATGTTTTTATCCACAGGTCATTTTCAGTTTGAAATTCAAACAAATATCAACTGAAGAGCATATAACGGCCGAAACATTGGGATTGTGACAATAAAGATGATGACAACAATGTAGATAGTGCAAATAATTTATAATAACTTATCTCGGAAATAAAGACATAATTCAATCTGTTATATGTTCTTGCCTTAGTGCCAGTTGAAATCTGAATCA